CTCAGTTCCTCTACTATCTTTGCCACGAAAAGACCAAATGGAGTCACAAAAAAGTTGGACATGACTGAAAAGAATGAACAATAACAAAAATCTTTTAATTTTTTAGTCATTTAATATCTCTGGGTCTCAGTGTCCTAATCTAAAAAATGAGAGATTTGTACCAAATGACCTCTAAGTTCCCCTCTAATTCTAAATCTGTGATCTTATGATCTTGTCTTTCATTTTCAGCAATAAAGATAAATCTGAAAATATTAAATTACAGAGGCCTAATAAACCTTTTAAGCCTTCTTAAACTTCTTTGGCTTTTTCCTTTTTAAAATTTAAACAAGAGAGAGGAAGCTAGGTGGCACAGTGAATAGAGCACCGGCCCTGAATTCAGGAGGACCCAAGTTCAAATCCAGCCTCAGACACATAATACTTACGACCTGCGTGATCCTGGGCAAGTCACTTAATCCCATCGCCTACCCCCCCCAAAAAATTTAAATAAGAGAAATAATTAATTAATTTGCATGGAATGGAAAAGGGCACCTACCAATAGCTAAGCTGGGATCAAGCATCAAATACAGCTTCCCTAAGTAGAGTTTCAGTAATATTCATTTATATTCTTCAAAAGGGAAAATTTTCCTCTTATGATTCAAGACCAAAAACATATTATAGTTGTTCAAGATTGGCAATTTGTATTATCCTTTTCATGAAATCTCCTTCACGTGAAGCAAGGTTTTCAGAATTTGATGTGTCAAGTAAAATGCAAGAGAAGTTAGCTTATAGTTGAAAACATGTAAACAAAAAAAGAATTCTGCAAATCTACAGAATTAAGCCCTAAAAGATTACCTAATTTGAGCAATTTCTTTTTCATAACTAATTTTATCATTGTTTTTCTACGATTTCAACTTTACACCTGCCAAAATTAACTATGTCTCCTAACATTTTAAAAGCAGATGTTCTAACAAACTTTGAACAGTCATGGTTAGCACCATCTATCATAAGCTCCTATGAAAACTGCTAAATCAAAAAAAAAAATTAGACTTCCACTAATATGGAAAGCTTATACTTAGACTTGACATAATAATGTTTTCTTGTTGATTCTGCGACTCCCCTACATGGGAGCTGTTCTGAGAGTACTGAGTATGCCAATCTCTGGGAAACTCTAATACTGTGCAATTGGCATGACTGCCATCTCTAGTTTAAGATCAATGAAGCTGGTCACAGTTTTGCTGGGGGGGGGGTAGATGTGGTAGCTATAGAGAAAAGTCCCCATTCAGAGACATGGAATACACACACACACACACACACACACACACACACACACACACACACACTCTGCTAGATAAGCTCTATACAGTATTCAAATTTGGGCCACAGACATTCTTCATCCACCTATTCTTTCCTGTGTAGATGAATAGGTTAAACCTATTTGGGTTCTTGCAAGAGGTTCTGCAATGTCCTGGGGTTCATACAGTCATTAAAAGGAACTCTGAAAATAGGAGCTTCTAGAGGATTCCACAATCCACTGGAAGTTCCTTCTTAATCCAGACAACGGGCTGGATCGCCATCCCAGGGAGAAATACTTTTGATGAACATACATCTCCCTATATTATGCTTCTATCTGATACTTATTATCACCCAGTTATTTTCTCATTACATTTCCAAGGAATCCTAATCATGATGAATGGATGGGAGACATTGTGCTGCAAAAAAACAGACTATTAAAACAGTCCAGTGAATCAATTTTTTTTTAAAGAAAAGTAATTAACAAATGTCATCTCAGGAGCATTCAAGGATAAAAACAGGGAAATTAAAATAAAGGAAAATGGTAAAGAATGGAAAAATTTTTTTTAAACTTTTCCCTGTCATTGATAATGGAACCACCACACTTAGACCCTAACATAACAGTCCCCAAGATACTTATAAAGGAAATAGAAATGGCACTAAAGAGAACAAAGACAGGGAAAGGAGCCAGAGAGAACAAAGAATGTATGTATGTATGTATGTATGTGTGTGCATGCGTACAGAGAGAAAGAAAGAGAGAAAAAGAGAGACAGAAAGAGAGCAGGAAGGAGACAAGTGCTGAAGGCAATACAATTGTGAGGATGTGTTGAGGGACTAATATATAAGATATCAGAAGGGAATCACATGATTGTAGACTTAGAACTGGAAAGGACCTTAAGAGGTCTTAACATCCAACTCCATCTTGTACAGATTAGGAAACTGAGCCCAGAATAGTTAAGTATCTTGCCCAGAGTTCCACACCTGGTAAGCGCATGAGGCAGAAATCAAATTCAAGACTTCCTGGCACCAAATTCATAGATCAGGGGAAGATATCAAAGGCATGAAAAAAAAAAAAGGCTTGGACCTTATTGACCCCTTGTGCCCCGAACCCCCCCCAGGTGACCAAGACAAAATTAATAACTAACCTTTATGACTATTCTCTCATCTTTACAGAAACTTTATGAAAATCATCTAAATACAAATCAAGGGAATCTCTTTGATGAAGGTATTAGAGAAACAGGAAGCCTTTCACAAGCAAAAAATTAATCATATCTTTGCCATCTCACTATTAACTGAGAGATGTAGAGACTATAAAATCTCACTGTGCTTGTTGATTAAAAACCACAAGATACCAGTTTTAAAATAAATTTATCTTTAAAAATAAGAGCTAAAAGGATACTAACTTTCTTTCTTTCTTTCCTTGTACCTCCCAAGCTCAGCTTCCAAATGTTCTTCAAAAAAAGAAAATAAGCAAAGCCACCAAACCTGGTCTTGCAAGAATTTTAACTGGAAATGGAAACTAGTATTGTGAGGTTTACTAGGACTAGGAATTAAGGCATAAAGTGCTTTTCAAATATTACTTCATTTGACCCTCATACTACCTGTATTTATTATCACCATTTTACAGATGAATAAATTGAGGCTGAGGTTAAGGGGCTTGCTCAGGGCCAAACAGCTAAGTATCCGAGGCAGGTTTCAAACAGGTCTTCCTATTCAGCACTTTATTATACCACCTTGCTACTTTTTGTCAGGGTCCTGAATTTCTGAACCGAATCTGGACTAGCATAATTGTCTACATTTAGTTAGTACACAAACATTTTTTAATGTTAGTTAAATTTTGCTTTAAAAAGAAAAAGCTATTCAACAAAAATATGCTGCTATATTTTTATCAAGTGTGGCTATGAATTCTAAGATCACACAGTTCAACCTACCCTCAGCCCTTGCCCATTTTCAGTTCATTGCTTCTTTCCATCCTTAGAGTGTAGTCCATTGTCCCAAATCAATACAGAAAGCCCAAGTAGCATCACAGTGACCAAATCACTCAGCTACTGAGTTCACTGGAAAATGCTATCCATTCCAAGGACAACTAACTCTAACAAGAGGTGACAATGGCAGCAGCAGGAGGTGGAGGGGATTTGATAAAGTTGGGAGAGGTTATAACCTTGGGTCTAAGTTGACAGCAATAAGAACGTAAATCACTTCTCCCTAGCCTGGCCCTTCACCAAAGAAAACTGAAGTCAGGTTCTGTAAATATAAGCAAATGACTTCCCGTGCTCATAAGTGCCCAGCAGCTATAGGACATTGAATAGCTAACTAAGCCTGTAGTCAGGAAGACCCGGGTTCAAATTCAGCTTCAGACCCTTCAAGCTGTGTGACCCTAGGAGGCTTATTTAACCCCTTTGCCTCAGTTTCCTCAACTGTAAAATGGGGATAATAATAGCACTTCCCAGGATTGTTGTGAGGATCAAATGAGATAGTTGGAAACAAGTAAAATCAGTATTTCTGGGTGGGAAAAACAAGTATTTTATACACTATGTAACAATGAAGATACATGCCCATGGAAGAGCGGATTCAACAAGTCACCAAAAGTAGAGATACTGAACTGGATACATATTAATACATTTGTTTAACAGAAAGAAATCTACAATTTCTGCTACACAGCAGTGATACATGCTCAATTATGGCCATGAAATTCCAGGGCTGGTCTGAATAGCAGCTAAGGGTCCTTTTATCACCTACACACAAAGTAGGTAGGGGTTCTTTTATCATTCCACCTCCAGGGAAAAAGCAAAGGAAACAATATAATTGAGTAATGTCCAGTGCTACCCTGCCCTGCCCTCAGGGACTAGAATGATAATTTCTTGTTCCCATTCAGACTTTTCTCAATAGCTACCACATCTACACCCCCCACCCCCAGCAAAGCTGTGACCAGCTTCACTGATCTTAAACTAGAGATGGCAGTCATGTCTATTGCGCACCATTAGAGTACCTGTCTTGACAGCAAAACCATAAGACTAGAAATTAAGTTATAAACCTACCTACTCTGCTCTATCTGGACTTAGAGAGAGGGAGATCCATTCTAAACATTAGAGCTGCCCCATGTAGCCACCATCTCCTGCATATGAAGTGAAGAAAAGTGAATGAGATGGCTGTAAGTTTTAGTTTCTTTCCACGCCTGCAAAGCATGAATCCCAATGTAGCAAACAGATTAAGACTGAGCAATTGTCACATTTAGTTATCATCATTTTTGCTCCCTCTTCTCCAGAATCACCCCTCCCCCTCCAATCTCCCAAGAAAATAGTTTTCCTTACAAATTTCTGTGGATCAGCCTTCCTTTTAACACAAGTCACATTCCTACTAGCCTCTCATCCCCATAACTTGTAAAATGGCAAAAATGCCGGTTCCTTCCTTTAACACCACAAAAGATGGTCAAGTTTGCAGCTTTTCAGTTAGAGAACACAAGGAAAAGATCTCTTCTTCCCCTCTATCTCAAGTACAGAATCCTGTCAGGAAGACCCACCCACCCCAACAAGGGAATACTGAAAGGAAGAAAGAGAGAAAATTGATTGCCTATTCTCCTCCTCCCTTCTATCTCTGGATTATAAAAATACAATCTCGAATCTCTTCAGATCCCTTAAAGGATTTAACACAACCGCCCAGATCCATCTCTACCTTCAGACCCCAAACCCAGATCCATATATCCTTCTCCAGCGTGCTGAGCAAACACTTACTTAAGCAGCAGCTGATCATGTTCTGCCTTAAACTTGCCCAGTTCGATCTGCAGCCTGGCCCTCTCGCAGGCCGTGTCGTCCAAGGCCCGGCGGGCGTCCGCGAGCTCCGTCTCATAGAGTGTCTTGAGCCCAGTAAGCTCGCGGTTGTGCTCAGTCACCTGCAGCTGCAGCACGCTTTTCTCCAGCTCCAGGCTCCGCACTTTGTCTATATACACCGCCAACCGGTCGTTGAGCTCTCGCAGCTCCTCCTTCTCCCGCAAGCGGGACAACCGGGTCGGGCTGAGCGGGGTTGCAGGCCCACTGGCCCGGCCGCCTATTCTCTGCACCGAGGGAGTTGTAGTCGCCATTACCAACAATGTGAGACGGTGTAATCTGCAGTGGATGGTGGTGCTGGAGTAGAGAAGCGTGGTGTATTGGCTGTCTAGCCCTGCGGCAGTAAACACCGGGCAGAAGAGGGAGCAGCTGAAGAAAGAGGAGGAGGAAACTGCGAATGAGTGGGAGCGGAGAGACGGGGGAACGGCGGGGAGGGAGAGACCAATAAGCTTGCAATCAAAGCTTATCGCATAAACGCGAGCAGCGATAACAAGGATGCCAACCCACTAAAGCCAAGAAACTAGTACACAGGGTTCAGACGCCAGTTTGCAAAAAGTAAACACAAAAATATAATAGCGCACACCCAAGGCTCAGGCGTCAAAGAAAAACACCTAGGGAAGAGTGAACGGGAAATGTAACAGTAACAAAGGACTAGTTTTAAAAGATACAGAGGTCGGAAAACGGAGAGGCTTGTTTACAAATAATTACTGATTTAAATATTTCTTAAAAAGCAGGAACACTATATAAAGAAAAGTACAATAGAGGGCTGACTTAGTAATTCTCACGCACTCACCGCCCGCCGTCTCGTCCTTAGATCTGCAGCACTTTGTGACCTCTCAGGTAAAGGAGGAAAGGGGACCGCTGCCAGAAAAAGACAGACGATATGGTCTGCAAAGCGGGGCAGGGAAGAGACGGGGGAGCCGATCTTTTTATTGGTTCAGAATCCCCACCGTGGCTTGCAAAAGCTCCGCGTGACGCTGGAGGAGCCAATACCAGCTCCAGACAGATAGGTCTCTTCAATCAGCTGGTGCCAAGCAACTAAATTCAAAATACGACCCCCAGCTGCTGTTCCAGGATTTTCAGTTAGTGTAGGCCGTGGGAGTAAGGGGAACCAGGGAGAGGAGATTGAATCGGAGGAAGGGGTGTCAGTTGGGCTTAGTGTGGCCCGAGTCTGGCTAGGCAGACTCACGTGCTGCCCTGCGGCTCAGCCCCCAGTAAACAATTGTGCAAGTCGGAGGAAGTGTCCCTATTATTTTAGAGTATCCCCGTCCCTGCTACTCCCAACTTAAATGCTTTACTACTCCATGAGGGTTACAGAAAGACTAGACTATTAAATCGAGTGGGACATTAATCTCCAACAAAATATGTGCAATTTGGGAATAGGGGAAGGACACAAATTATAGAGGTGCTGTGGCAAATTTTATTGGTTGTATTTGTGTTGGTCTCTCTAAATGAGTTTATTTTATCATTCACTTTCCTTTTGTAACTTGGAAAATAAATATTAAAATGTCTCTTTCAACTGACATGTACCTAGTACAACTATACACATTTTATGTGATATCTAGAATACAACCTTGTATGAACTGAGGTGAAGTGAAATGAGCAGAACCAGAAGAAAATATGTATGCATGATGACCACAATAACATAAAGAAAAACAAGGTTGAAAGCCTTCAAAATCCGATAAACTCAGTGACCGATAATGACTTTGGAAGGCTGATGATGAAGCATGAGTCCTAACTCTTGGGAGAAAAGTGGTAGACGAGGTACGAACTGATATTTTTTAATATAGACCACTAACTGACCTGCCCACACAAGTACTGTATAGTCAAGCAAACTTGACTATACAGTACTTGTGTGGGCAGGTCAGTTAGTACGTAGTGATAGAGATAAAAAAAAGAGAAAAGAGCATCAATAAAGCAATTAAAATATATTGAAAAAAAAAGTTTAACAGGGGCCACAATAACAATCCTGTTAGTTTCTTATTCAATTTAATATACCTTTCTAAAAACTAATTACGGGGGCAGCTAGGTGGCACAGTGGATAGAGCACTGGCCCCCCAAATCAGGAGGACCTGAGTTCATATTTGGACTCAGACCAAACACTTGACATTTACTAGCTGTGTGACCCTGGGCAAGTCACTTAACCCCAACCCCAATTGCCTAAAAAATAATTTGAAAAAACCTAATTACCGAAGTTCATATGACCCTCCTTTTTGCCCTTTGCATAAGGAAATATTTGTTTTGTTGAATGTTAGGATCATAAAACAAAGAGAATTGTACAGTCAGAAATTGAGTTTGTTACTTGGCTATATGATGACTTAGAATGTGAATCATTCATGTATATCATAGTTTTTCAAACCAATTTTTCCCTTGATAATAGTTTTAAATTTGGAAGCACATTATCAACCTTTTGGTAGCTTGAAAACAAAATGGTATATCTACCACAATTTAAATACACCAGCTATACAACTTAGGAAAACGTACAAAATGAATATTTCCTTTAAGAAAGGTTTCTTCCCCTTATAAAAAGAACCCACTACAGTGAGTTTTTTTATTAAAAATTTTTTTTTGTTCATTTTAAATTTAAATACAAAATGAGAAAAAAAGAGAACACTTCCATGTATTTAGCAGAACATAGAGAACGAATGGATTCAATATAAAACAATGAATTTCCATTTCAAACTGTTAACATGTTTTTCAAAAACCTATATACACATTGTTTTCCAAGCTACCCAGCTTTTCTGTGCTTCCAAGTTTTCTTTTGTTCTCTGCTGTACACTTTTTATTTTTTCTCCTTCTGTCCGATCCCCACTCGAGAAGGTTAAAATTAAACACAAATATGTACATATACATATATCTCTATATACATATGACAAAATTGTTAATACAATGACAGAAATTGTTAATACAAAATGTATTATGGACTGCCACTCCCTTAAATGTTCCTTGTAATGTCAGAATTTCAGTAATGTCCTTGCATTCCTACTCTTAAAATATTTACTCTGGATTAGGTTGAGCTGAACCACACCCTGGGTCCCCCCCTTCCTGAGATCTTGCCTTGTCGGGGAACCTGACTCAATCTGGATCTAGGCTTTTGATATCTTTGCCTCTTTCCATTGGGATTCATAGCATGAAGGGCAAAAGAGTCAGAATAAAGTGGCTTACCTTGCCCGGATTGCCAAGAGCCACTGGGGTCTCATGACCAGGCCTTGCTACCTCATACTGTCTCTACCCCTTCTCCTCCTAAAACTATAAAAACTTTTTCATGGGTCTCTTTAAATGAAAAAATCCACTGGACATCCCCCAGGGTGGCAGGTTTGCTGCCCTATTATCTCAATTAAAGGCTCTTTATTCTTCAACTTATAGTTTTGATTTATTTCACAACTTGATACATACCTATATATGTAAGACCATCCTATACAAATTTCAATTTATCATTTCTTTATCTGGAAGTGGATAATATCTTCCTTCATAGGTCCAACTCTATGTTTTTCTAAAATCAACCAGCTCATCATTTCTTATATAACAGTAATAGTCCATTACAATCATATACCTCAACTTGTTCAGCCATTTCCCAACTGAAAGGTATCTATCATTTTAGCCAATCTGATAGATATAAGATATCTCAAAGTTGTTTTAATTTGCATTTCTCTAATCAATAATTATTTAGAGCATTTTTTCATATGATGATACATAGTTTTGATTTCTTCATTGAAAAACTGTCTGTTCATATCCTTTGACCATTTATCAATTGGGGAACGGTTCATATTCTTATAAATCTGATAGTTCTTTATATATTCGAGAAATGAGACCTTTATCTGAGAGATTATCTATGAAAGTTTTCCCCCAATTTTCTGCTTACCTTCTAATCTTGACTACATTGGTTTTATATTTGTACAAAAACTCTTTAATTGAATATAATCAAAATTATGCATTTTACACCTCAAATGTTCTCTATCCCTTGTTTTTTCATATATTATTTTCCTATCCATGAGTCTGATAGATAATATGTTCCATGTTGTAATTTTTTTGTGATAGCTCCTTTTATATCTAGGTGATGTAACCATTTTGATTTTATTGTGGTACATGACTTAAGATATGTCTGTGTCCAATTTCTGCCAGACTACTTTCCAGCTTTCCCAATAATTTTTACAAAATAATACATTCTTATCTCCAAAAGTTAAATCTTTACATTTGTCTTGAGTACATTTTTGTTTGTTTGTTTACAAGGCAGTCATGGTTAAGTGACTCGCCCAGGGTCACGCAGCTATTGTGTCAAGTGTCTGAGGTCTGATTTGAACTCAGGTCCTCCTGACTCCAGAGCCAGTGTTGTATCTGCTGAGCCAACTAGCTGCCCCAATCTTTACATTTGTCAAACACAAGGTTACTATAGCCCTTTACTACTATGAGTTGTGCTTTTAGTTTGTCCCACTAATCTACTTTTCTATTTCTTAGCCGGTACCAGATAATTTTGATATTTACTGCCTTATAATATAGTTTAAGGTCTGGCACTGCTGAATCTCCTTCCTTTACATTTTTTCATTAGTTTCTTTGAAATTTTTAACCTTTTGTTCTTCCTAGGAATTTTGTTATTATTTTTTCTAACTCAGTAAAATAATTTTTTAGTAATTTAATTGGGATGGCATTGAATAGATTAGTTTGGTAAAATTATCATTTTTATTATATTGGCTTTGCCTACCCACAAACAGTTAATATTTCTCCAGTTATTTAAATCTGACTTTATTTGTATAAAGAGTATTTTATAATTATGTTCATGTAGTTCCTAGGTCTGTTTTGGCAGGTATACTCCCAGATATTTTATACTGTCTATAGTTATTCTAAATGATCTAAAACCATATTAAATAATATTGGTGACACATAGTGTAGTTTTCCTGTTTATCTCTTTTAATTAAATCTATTTTAGCGCTAATTTTGTCGGAGATCATGATTGCTAGCCCTGCTTTTTTTATATCAGTTGAAGAATAATAAATTCTTCTCTAGCCCTTAATTTAACTGTGTATCTCATTTTTTTTCTTGTGTTTCTTGTAGGCAACATATTGCCAAATTCAGATTTTTAATCTATTCTGCTATCCATTTCAATTTTATGGGTAAATTTATCACATTCACATTCAAAGTTATAATTAATTACTAGTTGTGTATTTCCCTCTATCTTATTTTCCCTTATCATCCTTCTTGCCCTATTTACTCTATCCCTTCTCATTCATCTAATTACTTCTATCCACTACCTTGCCTTCCTATTCCTTAATCTACCCACCCCTCTGAGTCCCTCCCTTATCATCTGACATACTCCTAATTCTTAATCTATGCACCCTAAAAGTCCCTCCCTTATCCTATCCCCTCACCCTGTTATTTATAATTTTAGATGACTTTTATACCCTTCTACGTATTTGTTTTGTTCCCTCTTTAATCCGGTTTCGATGAGAATAAGGTTCAAGCACTACCAGTCATCCTCCAACTTCTTTTGAAACAGTTCTTCTTTTCATGCTTTATTTGTATGAGGTGATTGCTCCTTTTTACCTCTCCCCATCTAATTTAATTTTTTTAGAATCACTCCATCACTCAGCTAAGCCCAAACCTTTCTTTCAATCTACCTAAGTAATGACAGTCATAAAGTACTGATAACATTTTCACATATAAGAAATAAACAGTTTGACCTTACTGAGTCCCTTATAAATGATCTTTAATGTTTACCTTATATTTCTCCTGGATCTTATATGTTGAATTTTCCATTGAATTCTGGTATTTTTGCCATAAATGCCTGATAGTTGTTCAGTTTGTTAAGTGTCCATTTCATTTTTTCATTTAAGATTACTCTTAACTTTGCTGGGTAAGTTATCCCAGCTCTTTTGTTCTACAAA